TTTTTTTTTTTTTCTTTAATAAGAATTGAGCCTGGCAGGAGAGAGCCAGCCCTCCCGTTCTCTCCTTTCTCTGCAACTGCCTACATCCTCCCCGTTGCAGGGCACCTGTATGTTGCCCCACTTGCCTTGCTGGACTCCATCCTAGTCATTTAGTACAAGGCCCAGGGTCTGAGAAGCAGGGACCCCTGGGAGAGAAGCTTGCATCTCTCTGTTGCCCTTCCTTCACCCCATGCAGACCTCTAGCTGGTTTCACCCCAGAGAAGCCTTAAGGGCAAAGCAGAGTGAAGAGCGATCGCCACAGCTGGGTCTGGGGGCTCAGTCGAAAGCTGCGTGCAGGCTTAAAATCCTGTGTTTCAGAAATTAACTTGAATTTTACATCTTCACATATAGTCTGTCCATGTTTGCTTTCTTACGAAAACTACTTAAAATGGTTTGTTTGCTAAACTGTTTCGTTACCCCTCTCCAAACCCCTGGGTAGAATCCAGCCTCCCTAACACAGAAGCTTTGCTCTTGTGGTCCCGTGGTTGCCGTGTGCTGGGAGCGCAGCTCCAGCCTCGGTGGGATGGTGGGATGTAGGAATCCAACACCCTCCTGAGCAAAGCCAGTGGCCGGGCTGCATTCCCAGGCCTGAGAGCAGCATTTGGCGAGGAGGAAGGAAACAGCCTCAGGGATAGGCTGTCTTGAAGTGGCCTGAATTGCAAGTTCAGGAGCAGACCAGGGAGTCACTGGGCAGTTAACTGCCTGAGATTCTGTGTCTCTGCCCTGGGCAGCTGGCCAGCTGTGGGGGAGCAGTTGTAATCAATTACAAGCTCTTTGGAGAAGCCATGGTTGAGTCAGGGGTGTTCACTGTGCTCCGGAAGGGACAAGAGCAATGCCAACGTCCCCAGCATCCTTGGTATGCTTTCCCACCGGCCCCTGCAACACCGTCTTCATAGAAGGCTCCCAGCCTGGTGGGTGTCAACGATCTGCCTACCAAGGCACAACCCCCATTCATGCTCCCCTCTCCCAGAAGTCTTTGGAGCCGGAGTCGGGGGTGGGAAAAGGAAGTGAAAGGAGGGGAAGGGAGGAGAGAAGGAAGGGGACTCCTTCTTTATTTTCAGGGGCTGCCTCTTTTCTCCCCTTTTAGGCTCAGGACAGACTTGGAGGGGTGGGCAGGTGCTGGGCCCGAGCTGGAAGGGAGGGAGCTGTCGGTCCTGTCGCACTTCTAGACTTGCTTCCTCCTTCTGACCACCCCCTACCAGACTGGAGAATCTGTCCTCAGTGTTCTGCCTCCCTCCCCGCAGGCTGATGGACCTGGCCAAGGAGATGACCAAAGAGGCTCTGCCAATCAAATGCCTGGAAGCCGTGATCCTGGGAATGTATCCTTCCTTGGCCCTTGGAGACTAGGGGCAGGTGGGCTTAGCCCTTCTGAGCCTCAGCTTCCTTTTCTGGAAGAGGAGGGCTGGATGAGCTTCAGAGCCCTCCCAGCAGTCATGAACTTGGTCCCAAAGTGAAGGAGCTTGAGGGGGAGCTCAGTCCCCAACGACTCAGTTGCTAACTTTCCAGGCCCACCGGGCAGCTCTTTTCTGAGTCCTCTGGACACCGTTACTGTGTTCTCTGAACCCCAAATCAAGGCACACTGTCTCACAAAGGCTCTTGTGCCATTTCTGAGAACCAGACAGTCTGGGAGAAGCCATTTGAATGCCCAAATGTTGGGCATTTGCAGGACATGTTGATTTGTAGAGATGTTAGATGGGGTCTTTGAAATAGAACTGGCTTAAAAAAAAAAAGTTTCTTGGTCACCCCCATCCAAAGGGCAGAACTGAGGCCTATAGCTGGGTCATCGGGTATCTAGATGGGACAGACAACCCCCTGATCAGAGCAGGAGGGAGACTGGTGTTCGTGGCCAGTTCTGTGTTCTAGGAGTCCATGCCTCAGCTCTAGCCTTTTGTTTTATTACAGAAAAATTTAAGCTTGTACAAACAGAACAATATAGTGAATCCCATGTGCCCAATCACTCAGTCTTACCAGTTCAAGGCTTATGTTGATTCGCCTCTGCCCACCCCTCCCATCTCCCCCTATGGACACCTACCCGCTCTTAAACATTCTGTCTGCCTCCCCACCGTCCCCGGGCCCTGATGTAGGTGCCTGGCTTAGTGCTACAGAAAGGGCAGCAGGGGAGCTGCCTAACAGAACAAGGGGTCCACTCCCTGGGACAGATCGAGGAGGAGAACACGGTGGTCAGGCCAGGAACACAGCTCCCCTGAGGAGGATTGTCATCTGAGGGAGGCACTCCCCCCACCCCTCATGGACATACCTACCTTAAATTGTACAAAGGAACTACAGGCCCACCTCCTCAGTCCCCTCCCGCAGAGGCCCCAGGAGCTCACTCCTGACAAGCTTTGCCCTGTCTGAAGGGCTCTTTGTCGGGATGTGCCCGAGAACTGATTCAGGCCACTGCCAGTGCCTCTGTCACGCTCCCACATCCTCTTCTTCAGGGGCCACGCACACCAAAGTGGAGACAGAGACAGAGAGAGACGGCTTCCTCCCCACAGTGCTCACGGAAAGCTGGTCCAGGCAGGATTATGTGGTCCCAGAGGCCTCTCAGAGGTTACCTCATGGCTCTTGGACAGGAAGATGACAAGAGCAGCTCCCATCTGGACTGGAGCCCCTCAGCATCCCCACAGAACGGCCACTGTCTCCTCGTTTGTTGTGCACACAGTGGACGCTATACTGAGTTTGTTCCCGTGTCTCTTCCTCGCTGCTCCTTGAGCCTGTTGTGCCTTGTTCATCTATGTGTCCTCAGACACTTGCAAGGAGTTGGGCTCAGGAAGCACGGTAGTGACTGACAGCATAGACTTTAGGGTCAGGCCGACCTGGACTTGAACCCTAGCTCCACAGCTTCCCACCGTGTGACCCCAAGCTCATTCCTTAACGTCTCTGAGCCTTGGAGCCCCCTCTGCAAAAGGGCACGACGGTAGTGTCTGTCTCACAAAGTTGTTAGGACAACTGAACAAGTCACTGCGAATAGGACCCTTGGTACAGTGTCTGTTCGGGGTATCTGCTCCAAGCTTTTATCCGTTCATCTTCTTCTTCTCGTGTGTTCAAGAAGAGTTTATTGAGTAACTGTTAGGTGCCTGGCTCCGTGCTGGTCCCCAGACAGGCATCAGGGAACATGGTCACACAAGGTCTCAGCTCTCAGAAGTTTGCATTCCGGCAGGGGAGACAAACGCAAGCAAGCAAACAAAGAAGCCAAATCATTACCGAGTGTGTGTGTGTGTGTGTGTGTGTGTGTGT